AGAGAGAGAGAGAGAGAGAGAGAGAGAGAGAGAGAGAGAGAGAGTGAGAGAGAGTGTTTGTGTGTGTGTGCGTGGTGTGTGCGTGTGTGCGCGCGTGCGTGCGTGTGCCTTCGTGTGGTATGTGTGTGTGTGCGTGGTGTGTGCGTGTGTGCGCGCGTGCGTGCGTGTGCCTTCGTGTGGTATGTGTGTGTGTGCGTGCGTTCGTGTTGTGTGTGCATACGTGTGCGCCCGCACATGAGTGTGTGCGCGTGTACATTTGTGTATAGATATTACCATGCGTTTGTTTATAAACGACCAAGAAGCCTAAACAATCAAGATTGTGATGCACATGATACACTTATAATAGTTAAAATACACTACAGGATTGTATCTGGTTATATTTTAGTACTAAATTACACAATATCTGAAAAATAACAAAACATGAAATATTAACTTTTATGGAACAACTGGATCTTTATTCCACATGATATATTAATTATCTATACATTAATAATTAATAATTAACAATCTGTTTACACAGGACAATATTTGGAGGCTTCGTGTAATAAAAAGTAATCGACGAAACATTGATGCCATTCGTGTGGACAAATTATATTAAACAAAAACTGATTAACCGAAAACGAGGAGCCACGGTGCTTTCCACAGATTTAATCAACCATGCAGCCGCAAAAGAACTGACTCATGAGATGTTTAGGTACACGAGCCTAGACTCGCGTCTATAACACGGATGCAATAACCACCTAAGCATACATCGAATGACCGACCAGCGCAGTATGGCACAGAATGAGCGCGCGCGCCTCCCTTCACGTTCCAAGAGTACACCACAGAAAACCCGACACACACACGCGCGCGCGCGCTTACGGATCAACGTCGAACAAAGACTGCGAAGCTCGAGTTTCGCGCAGCACAGAGAACCTCTAGATCTCCCCCCGACAGAAGCAACCACCTCTTGTTGGATAGACATACCGTCTAGAAGGCGCGCGCCTGAATTACTTACAGCACGACCGATGCGAACACCAATGTTTCAATATAGGCCCACACTCACGTGAGAGAAACGCACCGTTCGAAACAGAACTTGTCAAACCTCGCGGCAACGCATGATTGACGGCGATCAGAAACGAACGATCACTGTCTATTCTCGATGATTCTCGACTTTCACGTGACGTACTTCATGCGATAAGGCGCAGCACGCCAAGTGTTACCCAATGTCCAGACAGGCATAGCAAAGGGCTTCCTTCCCCTGACGTGCTCCATGCGATAAGGCGCAACACACGCACGCCAAGTGTAACGTAATGTCCAAACAGACATAGTGAAGGGCAGAAAAATATTTCGTCGAGCTTTCAGCGCGTCAGACGACGAAAAACCAGTGTCAGTGAAACGACGAAAGGGCTTCATAGCACAGGATTTATACGATGCTCCGCCAACTTGTTTTCCAGCCAAACAAGCGTAACGTTAACACCATCGTATTACCTTTAGCGTACGCGTGATACAATGTGACGTAACGGAAGGTTGGCCCCGACGATATGACTAAACCAGATCAATGAAACTGGCGCTAATTAAGACACAGATGCCGCGTAGGTTATATGAAATTTCACGGGATAATAGATGTTTCCGATCCCAGTTACCCTTCCCGACCTCTACGCAGTCTGATCAGCGGGGAAAGACGGAGCTCGTGAGCCGGAAAATACCTGGCAAAGGTATCTCTACTGGTGCATGAAATTCCCCTAAATGACCTACCGCGATGTGAATGCACATAACGATCATACTAGGCAGCTAGCAGAAACGTGGATCTTTGGTGACGCAGGAGCATTTTCCTTCTAATATAGAGAGAGCGATACATAGTAATGGAGATGGCAAATGTGGCTGTGTGGAGGGGGTGTGGAAGTGGCAAATTCAGTATTCAATCATTTACTGTTCAACTCACGTGCCAGTACCGCGGATCTAGAAAATAGAACGGTATTTACTGGTAGAGTAAGAAAATATAATCAACGTAATTCGTGCAAAACAGACGCGTGAGACGAATCATTTCGTATTCAAGTAATTTGTGCAGCTATGACATCCCGATATCATTCAATTTTCCCACAGAAATACCAGTGAAAATGTCCTACCTCATAAGAGCTACGACTGCTGCTTCTAATACTATTACTACTACTCCTACGACTACGTTTATCAGTAAGCTACCGGTTACGATTCACTCCGTTGACTTGATCGATATAGACGTGAGATATAGATATCGATGTCGATCAGGAACACGTGTGCGTGCAGAAGTTCCATCGAGCAGGAGAACGTCGGCAGTACTGCCTGGCAATGATTCCGCCCTCACTCACTCCTCACAGCCACGTCGACGCGGGTAGCCGCAGTGTTCAGCGTCGTCCATCACATGCGTATTCAGTGGACGCTCACAGACGGCGGACCGAGACTGCGCGGCGACATCTTTACCGTTACACAGTACGTTATAGGCACTTCAGGCTGCCTAAAAGCTACTTTAAATGTTAAATTATCCAAAGTAAGGAAATCTGCCCGACTGCTATTCCAAATGTGATAGTTCAGTGGTGATAACATCATTATAAGCTAGAGGGTCGAGCTGGTGGCGAAGGTGACGTCGTCACAAGGTCACGCTTACCGTGGTGATGACATGCACCAAGCACAGCGACAGTAGTCAGTGATTCAGGATTGCCGTGGTACAACAGCTGTCGATTCAGCTGCTGTTGCTCAGCGCCTACGCAACGCAACCAAGGTTCGCTTTACTGTGTTACTTACTCGCGTTACCAATTTCACCTTTGCAAGATATACCTGCGCAAGACTAGATGCATTGTTCGAATTCGACACAATCAAACTAGCACATTTAAACATGTTCCTGATGTGGGATAATGTGGCACGGTGACAAGAGAAAGCGACTCGAGTTAGCTTTATAGGGCCTATTCCCCGCCAGTAGTGTGGAGCACATGAATTTGGCAGGCGGTACCACTCAAGAAAGATGACTGATGATGGCAGTTCAATACCAAACATGCCTGGCTCCTGGAGCACAACGCTTTGATCACACTGTCTGAACGATTCAAACGGGTGCCACCCAGAGGTTGCCAAGCAATGCGCATGCGCACTGAAACCCTCCCGAAACCTAGATGAAAGATTTGATTTGACAAACTATAGCGTGCACGCTGGACAAGAACGAACACACACACGCTCACATGCACGCACGCACGAACACACGCACGTACTCATGCACACACACACACATAATAGATTCTATACTAACGTCTTTCAAATTAGAAAAACTTTCAAAATAATGGTGTTACTGCTTGGTCAGAAATACTAGAGGAATCAAACTTGCGACTACGTGTCGACTCATCATAAATAACAAAACAGATGAAGCAATGCGTTAACTGTCTGTCTGTCTGTCTGTCTGTCTGTCTGTCTGTCTGTCTGTCTGTCTGTCTGTCTGTCTGTCTCTGTCTGTCCCATTAGCACCAGTAGGCCTCTCAGCACGAAACACGCCTATAAAAGTTAGGAAAATGTCCCACTTTGGCAAATATATACAACTCGGATTCACGTATTACGAAAAAACAAAACGACGCCACTTATGATCAATAACAAATACTGTTGAACATTTGCTACGACGATGCCACGATCTACAACAAGTACAAGTAATCGGTAACCGTACTAGCCATTTCACCACAGCAGATTTGCATACTGCAAGTAATACGCCATCCTGGGTAATTAGCAGTGTTGTAGTCCGCACCCACCCCCCCCGAGTCCAAGTCCGAGTCCCCCCCCCCCCCGAGTCGCAGTCCGAGTCCAAACACGGTTTTGATAAAAAGATTTCCTAAACCTATAATTTCGACACCCAAAACCCTTACACTTTGAAACCTAAAACGTGAGTCGTAAATTTCTTTATAAAATTTCAAGGTGGCGACATTGTCAGGTAACAATTAAAATAAGTAGACAAGATGCACGAGTCCCCTGCACTCATTGTAGCCACACCAAACCCGCACTCCCAATGCCATACCTGGCCTCGCCCCCACCCCGCACCCCCCACCCTCCCCACTCCCCCCGTCCACCACCCACCCCCCCGACAGCTCCAACCCAACACCCCCTCCTCTCCCGGCAACTAACCCCCATCCCAAAGCCCGACCCCCCCCCAGCCCCCCCACCCACACGCCGCCGCGAAACTCTTCAACAACACCGAGATTCTTATAGGCTAAGCACCACAGCACTCACTTGCAAAAATCAATGTGAATAAACAGCTAGTCGCATAAATTTAGTGTAGACAGTTTTAGTTTAAATTTCTTGTAAAACTGCGTGATTTACAATATGTACAGTTATGTACAGATGTAGTGGCCCTCGAGTCAGAGTCGAGTCCGAGTCCGAGTCCGAGTCATTGCACTCCGAGGCCAAGGCCAAGGCCGAGACCAAAGAAACCGGCCTCGAGACCTACAACACTGCTATTTAGTAACCAGTGTCTAGGTAACTTCTAGCGCGGGATCGATACCCTCTAAAACAAAGACCCGTCACGTAGCAGTGACATGAACTCCTAAACTTGAAATACTCACACTCCGCTCGACTCGAGTTACCACTAAGCAAACAACCCCCCTCCACCTACCTTTACCCCCCCCCCCGAGTAAACCAGCTAACAGCAGCATGTAGCGGGGAATCACTACCACTTCTAATTCCACCCCCAGAGTCACCACAGAGACTGACTCCATAAGTCGTTGGAAACCATGTCAGCTCAGTCACAGGAACTAGCGGCGTCAGTCTAGGCTGCACCCACTCACGCTTTCGAGTACTTCCAACGATCAGCACTATTACCTATATATGGAACAAGGACCAGGATCGAGGGGGGGGGGTATATCACGCCTACCTATAAATAGTACCACCGCAAGACGAAACCTGAAGAGAGTCGGTGAACATCTAGCATTCATCATTCAGCCGAATCGACTGTATCGTAGCTATAGCGACACGAGACACGAGTGCTGCACAACGCGCAAAGCTTTTCTACCGCCCCCTGGTGACGAAACGAGATCACAGGACATCGGGAGCAACTCTTGAACGACGACGACAACGACACACACAATGCGTCATGCACTGACGAAACGCTACGAGTCACTATAAACTTTAATGTCAACATATCTTGGCACAGGGAAACACATCTTGGTTTGCAGGGGGGAACTTTACAATGACCTGCGAGTTTTCGTCCCGCATTACTAGGCAGTGATGCACGTCCCCTGCCGGCCACCACGCCACCACACTAGCAATGAATAGGGAGATACTCCTGTACACAGCTGCACAACATACGGCCGCACAAGGCTCTTTCCTACGTTATCTTACAAACGCCTGTCTTGAAAATATACAGTAGTAATATACACCAACGATTTTACATAATTCATGCACGGAGTCGTCGAGAGAAATGACACAGTAGCAAAATCTACGTCACCATGGTCCAGTCATGCTAGGTTAATAACTAATTTCAGTCCACAAACCATGCAATTCTGAGCTGTATATATATGTATACGTATATACACACACACATATATATATCGATAAGTAACACAAGATGAAAATTTACTATTATCATTGTACTGATCCCCTACAATGAGATAAAAATGATCGTTTTCTCCCATGTTTTCCATCACGTTTTTTACAGCATTTAAAAGACCTTGCTCAAATGTATTAGCAGTTTCATCTGGACAGAAGGCTTATGCTCATCACGTGAATGGCTGTGAACAGCACTGTTTGCAGGTTCTGTCGTACTGTGTGGACACACTAGTCTAGCTTGAAACTATATAACTGTCAGTATATTGATTATTTGCACACATGAAATAGGCACTACTGTGCCATCTTCTCATTACAAATTATCAGCAACTTCCCGGTACATATAAATGCAAGCCGGTTTGTTGACCATCACCGCCACCTAGTGGCGACTCTTAAGGGATCAAATGTATGTATATAGCATACAGGGAACTCTGATGGCATATATATCTTCCGATTACAACATCGGTTTTTTTTATGACAGACTCCACCCCTACAACAACAATACAATCGGCAATCCCCTCCTCTAATTCACTGCATACATGGGGAGATATAGTTACCATTTACATTCGTTTTCCTCAGCAGAGGGAGACACTTGCACATTTACTAAGTAGGAATAGGTAATGTGACAAACGAGGTAGGAGAACAGAGGTGGTATTACTATCACCAGCAAACGGAACGTTTGCACACAGAGACCCTTACTGAGTGCAAAACCATGTGAGATCAGCATGTGCCTATTTAACAGATCCATTAATGGTGAACAACCCTTATTAGGCTCCACATAAAATACGGAAATACGTGATCTCACGGCCCCGGGACTCTGTAATTGGTCAAGTACATGATCTTTCTCGTTTTGTTCATCCATTCCTTTCCCAGTTGCATAGTAGCAGCCGAAAGGCTTCCTGTGTGTGAATGCAACATAACAATGCCCACGTTGATGTTGTTCCCATCGCTATTACGGTTCTGATCTCGAGCAACCCACCATAGCATCGTCGTGCTTGTTAAAACATGCACGCGGGGACTTTCGCAATACATGCAGCTGCTTGCGGTACAACAACCAGTGGCAACACACCCCCGCAAATCCTCAGAAATTTACAAATTACACTTTTCGACACGTGTTGGAAAAAAGAGCACAGCGTAATAATAAATTACAACAATCTTAAATGATTACCGAAAAAATACGCGATCACCTACCACTTCCAAAACCGACACGTCACCTACTTGCTCCCTTACGACGACGAGCCACAATCCTACACTTTCTTCAAGACAAAGTTCTGAAGTATATCTTGCGCCATCTTCAGGTCATTTCGTGCGATTGCGAGTGCTCTAGTCGCTACATCTTGAGCGTAGCCCTCGGCTGTTAGGCATGCAATATAGTTCACATTGATGTTTTCGTACGATCCTCTTGCCTCCATCTCATTATCACTGTTGTTTTCTAGGTCTGCGTTCTGCATTCTGCCAGCAATCGACTGCTGACACCTGCAAGCAAAGGATTGAATGAACATCTATGAGCATCAGCGATGAATTTACTTACAAAACACGTAAGTTCAAACGCAGAAAACCCTTCGAAACAATGACCAGAAACCGATATCACTGGCGATGATTGAAGCTACACTAACATACAGCGGTGAGGATGAAGACTGTGAAACTATACGTGAACAAGAAAATTGTGACAACAAATAGTATGCGCCTGCACCCAAACTTTATCACTCTGTAGTTTTACCAATCTAGCCAAGCGGCTCCCTGACACTGTCATGCAACTTCAATCCGATTTCGTAATAGCTGACATTGACAGTCATATGCGACGTAGGCCTACTTCTTGTCTCAAAATCTTGCCCCATTCTCTACAAATTTGCACTGATCTCAGAAATGGACCTGGTATCTGCAAATCCGTGGAAAATTCTAATCCCTGATTATTTACTTGGTTTTTTTAAAATTTACTACAACCATTGGAGCCAGTATTAAATGAGCGAAATCAAACCAAATCAAATGCAAATCAAATCAGCATCGCATAAAATTGCAACATTGAGACCGTACACATTTCATGTTACTACAAGAGTGAAAAATAATATTAAATGTGAACAGTGTGCAACAGAGCAGCATAAATGATAGCACGATTCTAAAATGTTGTTGTTGCCTATAACAACAACACGGAAATTTAATACTGACACCGTTCTGTTGTTAAATAAGCGTACAATTATACTGTACTTGGCTACGTATTTTCCCGTACGCACACACATATAACCACCGACTGACACAATTTCCTTGCTGCACATTCCAACTGCATTTCAACCACAACAGTGTTTCCGATTATCATAACAGATGACGTACAATTTGGGCGAAAGCAGCTGCAGCGATGGAGAGGTGCTGTGGCCACTGGAATCTCGATCCTTGTGAGGCTTTGTACTGGAGGGCGGCACCGGAGGTGGTCGACTCGTCATACTTGTGGAGTTAACATCTGTTGATGGCAATACGAAGATGAATCATGCTGGTCTAATCGACTGAAGATGTGTAAACTTGATGGATGGGAATAATTTGCTGTTAGTGAATAATTAATATGGTTGCAACTTGTGTATCCATTCACAACGTCAATAAGAGATTGAATTAAAAACAGAGAAATTACACGACAGACACTAAACAGTGTTACAAGAGATATTAAAGATTTACTTGGCTATGCTAAAACAATGACAAAAACAAATAACAACACCAACAACAACAATAACAACAGCCAGAACTAGCTATCATACCAGTCTTGCTGTCTCCCGCATGCAACTCGTCTGCTGTATTTGGCATGATCTCGGCATAGTTCAACTGTGAACCAATAGGGGGCGACTTCGTCCTACTGGGATGACTAGGTACGGGCGGCGGCGTCGTCGAAGCCTCCAGTGTGCGTGTCCGCGGCACGGGCACAGGCGGCGCCACCTCTCCGTGCTCCGCCGAGCGAAGGACGGGGAGCAGTGCCTGGTTGTAGGAGTGCAGCGGCTCGCTGACTCTCACCATGCCGTGCTGCTGCTCGCTCCCGCCGCTGCCGCCGCCGCGACTCAGCGGCAGCGGCGGGGGGTCCGTCGAGCGCGCGTGCGGCAGGGCGGGCGGCGTGTCAGCACCTCGCGCGTGGTGGAAGGCGTCCGGCGAGCGGCCGCGGCCGTGCGCGACGTCGGACGAGCGGCTGAGCGGTAGCGGCGGCGGGTCGGCGGCGGTAGCGGCTACAACCCGCGCGTGCGCCGCATGCCGCACTTCGGCGTACGAGCCGCCCGCCGATGCGCCGCCCGCCGTAGACGTGGTCGGCAACGAGTTGCACCTCTCTGCGGAAACAAGCAAACGGCGGATTGGCGGCGGCGCGAGGCGTCAGGGAGACTGCTTAAAACGACGTCAAAAAAACTGCTTAAAACGACGTCAAAAAGACCGCTTAATACGACGTCAAAAAGACCGCTTAATACAACGTCAAGACTGCTTAAAACGACGTCAAGAAGACCGCTTAAAACGACGTCAAGAAGACCGCTTAAAACGACGTCAAGAAGACCGCTTAAAACGACGTCAAGAAGACCGCTTAAAACGACGTCAAGAAGACCGCTTAAAACAACGTCAAGAAGACCGCTTAGAATGACGTCACGAAGACCGACCGCTTAAATCGAGGTCAAGAGGTCCGCTTAAAACGACGTTGGAAGCCACGTTCGTAACACGCGGCCGGAAGCCGCAGTCGAAAGCTGCGATCGGCAACGCGCGCACGCGTGAAAACGGGCAAACCTTGTAATAGTGGAGCCTCGTCGGTTGGCGGCGCCGGCGGCTGGCGTCTGCTGATATGTGGCGAACTGGTTGGCGACACTGTCGGTGACAGTCGGCGTGGAGGGACGGGCGGGGGCTTCTGGTGGTGAAGGTCTACGTTGCGGCGACTGGCCATCGGACTGTTACCCGGCGATACGAAGGGGCTGTGCTGCGGAATCAACGCGCGAGAGTCATCACCCGCGTTGGTAACGCATCACGCACGACAAATTCACTTAATTAAAGTATTAAAAGTGTTGTAGAATTTGAATTACAATTATTAAAAACGACGCAGCGCCAAACAAAATATGTGAGAATAGCTGCTATCAGTGCAAATTTGTTTTCCTTAAGAGTCAAATTATCACACTGGGTAATTCGGCATTGCTGTGCCTACACAAACTGACACGTATTAAGACCATAACAACATCAATGACCAACTCACTGAATCGGTCAATGGTGCAGATAAGGATAGTGTATGAATACTGCTGACAGTAGATGGCAGCCAACTTACATCCTAAAAATTAAAAAAAATTTAATTAATGCTGCATTTTCAACATAAAATTGTTAAAACATGATAAACACGCACCCAAATTGGCACATGCACGTAAAACGATGGCGCAAAAACGTAGTTTCTAAGCCATGTTCCACAGTGACGGCATTAAATTTGTACAAATGGGCCTGCTCATACAAAGTTTGAAGTGTGCTTTTACTACACAGCACGTCGGATGGCTCCGACACCAATGACATCCCACATCAAGCCCAACAACTGAGAGGAGAGCTTAGCACGGGCTTCCGCCTACTGCCAAGAACTCCGCTCAATAACCAGTTAACGAGGTTACCATTGACGTCGGCTTCCCTGGACTGTTAGGTTGTGGTATAACGCCAATACCCCACCCCCCACCTCCCCGGCGCGAAACCAGAGCGACGCGGCTGTAGCCGACTTCTAGCGCACCTCTAGCGAAGAATCGTCGTCGTCCAGGTCGATGAGATTCAGCGACCTGTTACAGCTGCTGCCGCTGTCCTTCTCCGGCATGCAGCGACGGGAGCAGGCGCGTGGCTCGTACGGATCGACGACGATCAGCTCCGTGCCCTTGATCTCCGCTCGGCAGAACGGACAGCCCTGCCCCTCCGAATCCTACGAGAACCCGTGTCGGTAAGAGGAGCGGAGAGCGAGATGGCGCGCCGTCTCGTCGCCTTTTCTAATAGACTGGTGGTCAAATTTTTTACTGCTGATGGCCCAATGCAGTTATTGCAATGAATAATTTGATGTGCATGATTTTCATTTTTTTTTTTTTACTTGTTATAAAGCTACATTATATATATATATATATTGGATCGTGGATTGTAAAATTTGTGTAAAAAAAAATTATTGGGTTGAACGTTTGACGCCTGCTTTCACAAACCTAGCTAACACTCTGGTTAAGTGAGATTATTATCATTACTGGTGCCACGATAACATAACGATTGGTAAACCTATTGTTTCTTTCGATTTGCGCGAGCGACGATTGGACGCTCGCACGTGTGTAGGCGTACCTGCCACGCGGTGAGACATGGAGTACAGAGCAGGTGACCGCAGGGCTCGATGCGAATGTCCTTGTCATTCTCCGTGCAGATTTTACACAGCTGAAACGTTGAGCCCATCTCCAAGTACAGGTCGTACTGCTCCTGCAAAAAGCCACAAAACATCCAGTTAGCCATAAAGAGACAGACCGCTGGAACAGGTTCATGCGTAGCAGGACACGACTGCTGACCTTAATATCGACGCGTGTGGGAGAATGCAATGCTTGCGAGGGCAGCAATGCGTGGTAGAGATGACTGCAAGAGAAATACACCCTTCCATCTTAGGCATTGAAAAACTTTCATGGTTCTAGTCAAGAGTTATTTATGATAGGCCATGGGTGTCTACGGAAATTTATATAATCAGTCAAGTACCCATGCACCAATAACACAAACTGTGTCAGTGTAACAGTAATTCGAGCCAAACTGAAACCTCTACTGAGGACTTTTCTCGGAAGACGATTTTGCTTGAAATTTCAAGAATTATACATTTCCGAAGGAAGAGATTCATGGCAAAGTGTGAATGCGTGATAATACGATCACGGGGGAGTATGAAATAAGCACCAACCTGCGACACTTTGATGTGATCTTCAGGGTGCTCCTGTATAGCCCAACTTAGGTCTGGATTCATGTGCCTGCCATCTGGGTACAGGTAACTGTAGGAAGTTCGTAAAAAATATTTGTATGAGTTAGGATTACGCAGATAAAACCATTTTTAAGCACTCAATGACTTTACATCGGCTTAATTTGCATAAAATCATTTAGATTCTGCATGCACCGTGTAAGTACTTCAGGAGAGCACAAACTCGCGCAATCACTAAGCAGATGAAGAGACGTACAAGCCCTCCCTGTAGCCATCCAACAGTGCCTGGCACAGCGACTTGTTCTGGGGAATGGTCTGTAGGATGCTGCCGTCTGCTGTGACGTAGCCAATGGCCCACTGACCCAGCCGTGTGCAGCTGAGCCGAAAGACATAGCTGAAGGATACCAACGCATTGCAATGATTAGAGTAACGAAGCCAGATTGTGTGCAAGTTTACAGCAACTGTTGTCTACAAATGGGTGAAATTCACTTTAAGGACACAGGTACTGGCATGCTAAGTTGTACATTTAAATAGGTAAAATAATTCTACTGTTTCTAACTACAGCTTGTGTAGATGTTATTGCCTACACAAAGTTACCACACCGCATTTGGAAGGAATATGTAGGAAGCACGGCATCACGTTGCAGTTTCTGGCATGTAGACTGCGAATTTAATTTGAAAATTGAATAGATTGTGAATAAAATTACGAATCAGCTAATTATGTATGTGCAACTCATTCCAATTATACACATACAGGTACCTAGGAAATCACATGTTGCACGCTCATAATTAACTAGAGGTGTGCCGGATCTTGAATCTGTCCAGACAGCCTAACCAGAACCACAACTTTCTCAGAGTTTCGGTAACGGCAGAAACTCTTCATAAACAGTCAGCCAAAATCAGAGCATTTTTCCAATTTGAGTTGTCACTAAAAAAATCTTACTGCCATGCAATTATAATTTTAGAATTGTACTACCTGCTTTATTGTACTAGATGTTCCCTTGAATATATATATATATAATCACCCTGTTGAGATAGAATTTCTTTTGAACTAAAAGCAGCAGTCACAAGTGCTGTGCCTAAAAATTGGCTGCTAAGGCTAATTTATTCAGGTCAAGTAATTTCACACGACATGGGGGCCAAATTTGTCGTGTTTATCTCCTGCAAGTTACGATTCTGGCACAAAGTTCAGATCCGGTGCACCCCTAACCGACATGCTCACAGATGTACATATGCACACACCACACATGCACAACAACACACCTTCCTGGTTTGTTGATGTATTTCTGCAGTCTCGCCTTCACTTCATCATACGTGAGGAAGGCAACATAAGCAGGATGGGTGACAGCCAGGAGATTCCAGTTCCGTAACAGGCTCACCCACGGCTGGAACAGCCTGAAAAACATGGGGCACCACATTCTTAGCATTAAAGTAGTCACTACTACCATGAGTGAGATAATAAGATGGTACAGTGGTCACCGCTTTATCAGGGCCTCAGATAAACTGGCTCATCGCTTAAATGGCATATACGACTTTGATAAACAATCCTTACAAACGTTTTGTTCACCGCACAATCACAACCACAGGGTAATCAGGACATTTTCATGGTTCACGACCTGTCATAATACAGTGTAGAACCCATTTCTCTTTCATACTTCAAATCTGAGTGTTTTCTAGCTCATCAAGAAATCTTAATCGTAAATTAAATCGTGAATTAATTTCCAACGGCATTATTACGAGGCAGGTAACCCAGTCTAACACGAGGTAGAGTAGACTGGTACACTTACCGACCACTCCTGCCATTGTATTTTTTGTACATAACACTAGGGGTAGAACCCACAATAACAAAATACAAACAGTGGACATGGCCAAAGGCAAATGGTAAGTCAGATCCAGAACAGTATTGTAAAGCTGTCAATAGTAAAACTACATAATACAAATGAGTACAATGATATAAGAAGATTTACAGTACCAGTATAGTTGGTATGTATATGCAGTGTTGGAAATAAGACAAAAATTCCATCCGGTCCTGATTAAAAAAATTTCTAAATCCGCAATATAAGCTACAGTAATTTTCTTGAAAATTAGCCAGTCCTGCTCCAAAAGTAGCCAGCCCTGCTGAAAAGTTACCAGTCAGGGACTATGGGACTGGTGCTATTTCCAACTCTGGTATATGTCAGGTTTTCTGATTTATGAGTGATGAACTCGATTTGGAACCAGCAAACCAGCAAGTTCACCCCTACATTTTGGTATTTTTATTCCATTGTTGTTTTGAATTTTCCGATGGCTTTGCCCATGCAAAACAAACATTTTCACCTCACATGCAGTGCTTCAAATTTACACACAGAGTGTCCCAGATTGCATCTCAGAGCTTCTACAATTCAAAAATATTCCGGGGGGCATGCCCCCGGACCTCCCTAGCACTGAGCAGCACCCCCATGATATAATGAAAAAGCTAGGAGAACCCTGGGGATTATGATTATGGACATTGATAATGACTAATAAACACAAGGAAGAACATGATATGCTGTTTTATTACTGTAATTTGCTCCAAAATTGGCGGGCTTACAGCTTTGCTGGCGGGCCTGCAGCTTTTAGGAGCAATAGGCCCTGCAGGCCTACAGCTTTTTCTGCTCTATGGCAAACACTGCCGACACTCACTCATGTATATTAGCACGCACCTTGTAAACACATCAAACTCGAAATTAGAAATGTAGTCATTGCAAGTGAGGTCTATTGTGGACTTTAGAGCCATCGCCTCCAGTCCCGAGCTTATTGGATGTACTTGATCCAGTGTCTCGCGAAATATTTTCCATGGCACTATTGTTCTGCAATGAGAATGTACACGTTATACTTACTAACGATTCACAAATCATGTGTTATTTATATATACTGCACTTTGCTGCAGATAAGATTCTCCGATACATCAGATGTGCAATTAGAAAGTAATAGTCGCCGAAGAGTAGACTGTATAATATCCTTCCTCACTACCAGGTATACGATCACTAGAAATGAGGCCGCAAACTTGTTTTTACCTAGCAGATACCAGTATTTCATACCACTAATGAGCATGTATATACTGATACTATGTATATCATGTATGCAGGGCTGCCAACTCTCACGCATTGACCGTGAGACTCACGCATTTTGACCAAATCTCACGCTCTCACGCTGATCTTACAATATCTCACGCACAGCAAAAAAATGCTGAGATATCTCACGCATGAATATCTCTTCATGAATAAAACGCTGAAATATCTCACGCACAGCAAAAAAAATCTTACAATATCTAAAAACAGTCACTTTAGTATGCACCGAATTGCACAAATTAAAGTTATAAAATGCAAAAGCTCCCTACCGTGGGAGGGGGAAACCCGCCTCCCACACCCATCCCCCACTCTGTCGCTTCGCTCCCTCGCATCTCACTCTCGCCTATCACCCAATGTTGGCAGCCCTGATGTATGTACTATGAGTGAGCATTGGTTAGTATATACTGTATGTTATTCTGCTATGCGACTAACATACCTCTTGTAGCTATAACAATCATATCTAAACACAGCACTAGTGAAGCTTTTCACAACTATCTCATACAAACTTACGCAACAGTATTCTTGGATATTCCGTTCCTGCTTACTATTAACACATAGACGTATGATATTGGTTACGGTATACTCCTGAACATGTAATTTCAGCTCAAAATCCTCACTGATCGTGACTTTTAGCATATATCGGATGCAGACTGGTTTTTGGCATTTTCTGAGAAATAAAATGCACCCTACAAGACGTGAAATACGGTACTTGACAACAAACTTATTATGTGAGTCTCTCTCTGTCCATTATCTAATTTTTTTTCAATATACACAGCTTCAACTACACAACACAGACCGCCGTGCACAAACCATGAGGAAAGTGGAAGAAGACACTGATGGAAACCAAATATTGTGTCTTGCAGTAAGAAAGACACATGAGCTAATAACATGAAAATAGCATGGTTTGTGCAAAACGACCTGATGGTCTGAATACATTTCACTGTAAAAATTTCATTAGTAAAGTGACTCATGAAAGAACCATGATATACACAGCACTTATTCAGGTAGTTTTAACACATCTAACTCTCATTTACATTTCAATGATATCTGTAACTAATAAATAATTAAACACATATTATTAATTCATACATATACAGCAAGTATCATTTATATTATGATCGGCATATGTTTGCGAAAAGAACCACGTATGCTACATTTATTCATGTACAAACGCATGAACACGCACGCACACACGCATGCACGTTCGTACACATTCACACATGTACGCACGCGCATACACACTCACATGCACGCACACGCACACGCACACACACACGCACGCACGCACGCACGCACGCACGCACGCACGCAAACAAGCACACATAAAAATATGCAAAGGCTGGCCATGCATTGGCTCTAGGCGCAGATCGCGGCCTCCGTACTCCACCTAACTATGCAAACCAAATTAAAACTTGACACAATGACTAATATCATCAAGAGTACATAATAGAGATTACATAATCTCGCGCTCGCCCACGACTCCTCCAACATCCTGCAGTGACAGACTCAATCATCCGTGCTCTGTGTTCGGTGAGTAAACTCGCAACATAACGTCACCTAGCTCTAGAACTATAGCCCTTCGCTCTGCCACAGGTACACTGCCACATGCCATAAAATTCGTAGTGCACTGCCTTTCCGAACATCAGGGTTCGTGGGTAAAATAATTATTTACTTGTGAAAAACACAAATTAACATTAAAATTAAATTTACATGTACCTCAATGAGGTCCAATACCGATGCCTTTCGGTTTTCATGTGGCCTTTGATCGGCTGTGAAATGCTCTAAACAAACTGCTTTACATTACAATTTCTAACGTTCTACAGTCTGCGTTTATTCAACTTGCAACTGAAATTAATTTTCAGGCCGTTACCAAATCAAATAAACTGCTAGTGCTATCAATCAGGAAGGCATGCTGTACAGTGTACACGCACACAGCGTAGTAAAACGACTGAACGTACGTACACCTGGCAGAGGTTTTACTGCACCTACAAACGCAGTTCCTCTCTGAACCAGGAAATGATAGCAAGCATAATTCAAACTATGCGTGGAACACTGGAAAGGGCTTGCCACGCGCAAATATTTCGACAGTTGAAACCGTAAAGTGTGAGAATAAAAAAAAATAAGAATGGCACCACACCATTGGCTATGGTATCGCAGCAATATTATATATTGTTTACTTCAAGTGGTATCCGAATGGCTCGTGTCGCAAAAAAATCAGTGGTGGTAGTTAGAGGAAGGGAAGGAGAATAGCTGCCGTATAGTAGCTGGTCGCAATACCATGGTGCGGAGAGCTCCGTGGACGCATTCGTGTGCTTCACGGACGGATCAGCTTCATTTACTGCCCGTGCAAATTTCGGTCTGTTGTAATTTCCCACTGGATGCAACAGTGACAACTGGCCAATGTGTTTCCAACATACGTCACTAACAGCTGAAACTAATATTATTATACACTACTACTGTACATATTAGCAGGAGCGTATAATTATATAGGTTATTATTCTAGATCTATCTAGACTATTATTCTAGATCTATCTAGATTATTGTTCTAGATCTATATAGATCTATTATTATTCACTCCTGATATTATATTATACATTCCATATGTGACTGTTACTGCAACTGTTGTAGATATAGACATATATATAACATAGGGTATAATGTAGTATAGTATAATTCTCTCCCCGCGTCATTCAATGGTTTATTGCAGTCAGTCGTGTGCTAATCCTTACGGTTGGGTTTGCTAGAAGTGTCAACAGGAAACTGCAAGCTGCAATGCATATACACTGGACTTACTCACCCCCACCACACACACACACGAACACACACCATCTGTGTTTTCATACTCACCTGAACGATCGCGGCAAAGGCCCACTTCAGATCAAGGAGCAAGTTTTAGACTGACACATTCGCGCGCGTTTCCCCCTCCCTTAACATCTCGACTTGGGGGTATACACTGCGGAGGAAACGCGATCACGAATCTGCAATCTACTCGTTGGCGCTCATCTGTGGGAGACGCAAGTTTACACCAGCCTGCTCTAGATTTCTAGGTCACCGTGGACTTACATAGCCATTACCGTTGATTGACTATACTCCTGTAATGTCTGCGATCGTTCCCCGCCGTTACACTCAGCTGCTGAGGGCGGCAGCGTCGGCGCCGTAACAACGCAGCATCCGTTAGACACGCAGGGAGCTCTCAAACCGGGAGAACTCAGTCGCAGCACGGCGCGGGCGACAGTCTAGGGCGAAGCAGAACGCCAAGCTCACGGCCATTCATGACAGGCCTAGTCTGTCTCTACGAGGGGCCCGGCGTTAGTATGAATCAGAAGTGGCCAGTGTCATTCATCGACTTCCGCCGTTTCATTCATGATTTAGCCGCGCCGGTCACAAGTGTTTTGTGCACGACCGTTTTGGCCGTTTACGCCGTTTGTGGTTTTCATCTGCCCCCCGTGCTGTGGAAAAAATATCCTGAGATGCTTAGTGAATGTTAATAGCACACCCGAACCCACCACATGTATGCGCGTACACGCCAACAGGCACACATGTATACACCCACACACGCACATATACACCACGCACACGCCACACGCACACGCACACACACACACACACACACACACACACACACACACACACACACACGTACACGCACACATGCATACACAAAAGCATAAGGATAAAGCCAAGTACGTACCTGCACGCACACACAAACACACCCATGCACTAAATCTATGCAGGACTGTGTCCTCAGAATATAACATCAAAAGTCTATCAATCACGTGCGAGTGCGAGTGCGTGCGTGCGTGCATGCATGCGATGGACTACTACTAATGATAAGATTCATTACTGTGCAATGTCTTCTGCCGTATTATGTACTCAAAAGATACTCTATCAATTCAACGTCATCTATGTCATTTGATTAATGCTGCATAGAAAAGCCACAAAATCGCGGTCATTGTCACAATTTGTGCATGTACACTTACTGGATTAAAGGCCGATTTCTCCAAGTGATTCAAGATTTTACAATACGCTGTACTACTATGTAAAATAACGTAGGGTGCAAATGCCAAATATACAAAACTGTGTGATTTTACTCCATTTTCATTCCATTAACAGGGCTAGAAAAATTCAGAGAAAGAAATCCTAAGTAAAAAGCAGATACTAAACTGGTACTTAATGTGGGACCCAGCTTTAAAAATCTTTGTTTTTGATAGATCACAGAACAATGGGCTCATTTATGACTGAGCATAATAGAGATAATATCTTATTCATACTGCCTGAATAATTATTGCCATTGTACATTTAAATATATTGCAAATACTAGCACCACCTTAAAAATCACACAAATGAGCTTTAAATATAGCCATACAGGAAATAAATCTTGACAGCTATAATTACTGAGTATAATAATAATAATTGTTACCTCCTCTGAAAAAACGATACTCACTACTTGTTCTATAGATAAACTGAACTGTAAAATAAAAAAACCAACCCTTTCAGTTTGCCTAACTCAACCATTTTATATATAAACCGATTATTCATTCATTTCTACGTAATAATGTAGTCAAGTCCTTATCTAATATAAGCATATATAATAAAGGTATATTATGATATGCATACCGATATCAGATACGGAATTGCACGTAATTTAATAACAATTAATGCAAGTTTTTATGGTTTCCAAGCTTTTTTCCAATGATACATTAAAGATATATATAACATAAATTATACAAAATATATCAAGAGCTAATACCACCATTTGCTATTATTAGCTATTGGTATTATTATTTATGATTACATGCTGTTCACTTCCTTTTGTTTTCCCTTCATTAAAATAATGAACTTAATTAATAACAAGCGTGGAAAAGCCCCATGCAAAATCAATAGGTGTGGTTCATCATACAGCACATTATGGTTTACTCAGCTCAATGATTGGTATTTAAAAATGCTACTTTGTTTTGGAGCTGAGTGCAATCTATGGATGCATGTGGGGGGCGGCAGCCTGGCCACTACAGGCTGCAGATCCACTACTCAATCCCGTGTGAGTTCAACCAGCTTATCACTTGATACCACTGAGCCATAAAGTTAGCAATGGACTGCTAAACTTAAATGATGCAACTAACTTATCAGTCAGTCTTCAAGATAATAAACGCATATGACAACCTGAATATTAAATTTACAGGCATGTATGTTTGACACATTTGCTACAGCAGTGTTTCCCCTGCATTGACACGAGCGAGGCGGGCCACCTCGCTCAAATTCTCAGCCGCCACACAGAAATTTGTCCAAAACACCGCCTCGCAAACAAAAATCGTTCAGAATAGCTTAGAATGCACCAAATTGCTCCATTTTTTTACAAATCTTCCGAGTGGGGAATGCTTTGCTAGGACGTCAAAACGCACAAACACACCCAAAAAAAATTACCACCTCACAGGCCTTTTTGGCCAGGGGAAACACTGTACAGTACTCGTGTACCGAGCTTCAGCTAACTGCAAGGAGCTTTATTGACATACACACACTTCACATCACAGCCAGTACTGAACCTTGTGCCTGTAAACTCAAAACAGCAATCTTTTCTCCATATAACCTAGTCATAAAATTGGCTAGTAGCAGTAATACATTATTGTTATCATAGGTTATAGTCTAAGTTATCAATCTGGAGTGTCTTACTGCGGACCCTTACCAAGAGATTAAAATCCACCTATTCTTGAATGGGGTAGGGGGAGAAACGTCACACGGCTGTATCTATATACATAAAGTTGTTCAGCCGAATTAGTCCGTACTCGCATAACTAGAGAACTCCGCAGCCTAGAGGAAAACTAAAGATATTTTCAGAATCCGCACGTTTGGGAGGTGGTTCTGGCCGAAACAACAATTTAAAAAAGTTAAAAAGTTAAAAATTGATAAAAATTCTATTCATCAATAGATGGCGGTGCGTGCAGATTAACATCACGTACGTGTGAATCCATAGTGTATACCCTTACTGGCGCAGTGGCCTAATCGCTAGAACATCCGTCTCCTACATCGGGATTCAGGTTTCAAGTAGCTGGGGAACTTATTTTCCCCCTTTTTTTCCTTTTTTCCATTTACCTACCTTTTTAGTATGTATTATTTATAATTTTTTACTTTTTATTTTTTATTTTTAATGTCTTTTATCTTTTGATTTCTTATTATTTTTTACTGTTTGGTATAGGATGGAATGGCATGGCATGGGATGGCATGCGATGGCATGGGATGGGATGGCATGGGATGGGATGGGATGGGATGGGATGGGATGGCATGGCATGGGATGGCATGGGATGTGATGAGATGGGATATGGGATGGGATGGGATGTGGTGCGATGGGATGGGATGGAATGGGATGGATGCATATAGATAGATAGTTGGATTTTTTGGGGTATTTTCCTTTCAACCAAGCGGTCACCAACTGAGTAACGCCACTGATTTCCCCGGGCAATGCCGGGTATCCCGCTAGTTTACATATATTCACAAAACACACACACCCATTACTGTAATGTAAAATTACAGTTCAATTTAAAACTACATGTAAATAGTTCAATATTCTGAAACACAATGATAACTATGATAAAACTCTATAGTATCAGAAAATAGTGTCAACTTCACCTTGTGAAAGATTTCCTTGGAAAATGCAGGGGTAAAAATTAACTTTTGAACAAGGGAGTCCAACGGAAAAAGAGGGAGTCCGCAGTCTGAAGTTTAAAACTAAAGATATTAACAATACATGTGCTTATTTTGAAGATTCATGCGGTTGCACTTCTGCCAAATTTTCTTTGGACATTTGCTGAAAATTCAAAGAAATACGGTAATTCCGGCTCGAAATACGGAGGCCGTGCTTTAGAACGAACTAGTTAGTATAGCAGAATTTTCAGAGAGGCACACAGACTCCTGCATATGTCAAATCAGGGAGTCCGACAGTAAATCAGGGAGTATTTGACCCCGGACTCGCGTTAATTTCGCACCCTGAAAATGAGGATCCGAAGAAAACTACACCAGCCTTATCATATATTCCATAAATACGACATGTGAAGCATACAATGCATTAGATGATAGGATTGAATGACCAGAATAGAACTAGATTATAATTCATTCAATTTGATGATAACTTGCTAAAATCATACATGTATGTTATGTACTTAGACCTGAGGCTATTAAAATATAACAAATTTCCTCAATCTATAATGTACTACTGCAATAAAGGGAATGATATTGCTTTAGCACATTTATTAGTACTTAGATATATTATTCGGCAAGGTAAATCATAACACTGTGTATAAATTTCATCTTGAATTAGCATTTTCTTATCATCAATCCATATAGAAATCTTCTATACCAATATAATATGCTACACGTCAATCATAACCTAGTTATTGACAGCCCCTAGAAAATTGGGTACAAATGTTGGAAACTTGGAATTCACTATAAGAAAAGTCTAGTATGTAGGCAATTTACATATGCAAGGAAGACACACAATGTCATTAGAACCACAAAATAAGCTAGTTTAATATTTAGTTTAATCATCGAAATAAGTGTAAAAAATCAGCAAGTGCTGATTTTTAAAATTTCTCTCATATAACCTAAAGCAAAATCCATTAATATACACCAGTCTTGCTCAAAAGCAACACTACACTGCAGCATTTACTTTATGAATCCTCATGGCAGCATGTACATATATATATACGTCCCAATAGTCGAATGAATACATAAAGTTTGTCATACATGTTATGGCACTACGTTATTATTATCAGGCTATTCTGCTTAATCCTAACTCTGGTGAAATTCATGCAGTTTCCAGCTTGGTTTTCCAACAGCTAATATTATACTTACAGGTATATGCGCTATAGAATAATTGGCTGCAATTTGACTCTATATTCATGGGTTGAAGGTGCCTTATTATCCTCTATACCAAGCACACACGTTTAATAACCAGTGTTAAACAATTCATAATAATAAAATGCACATGCAGGCTGTATCACATAACAAGACTGCACAGTCAATTACCATCTAGACTCTCTAGAGGGTGTATTTAATGCAGTCATGAAAACATGCTCTTTGATTTTTTGGAATTAATTAAAAACTTATTACAAATATTACAAATAGAAATGGCTTGAGAGTACTACAATAAAGAAAATAAATGATTACCCAATATCTCATGGAATAATGCACACCGTGAAAACATATATATTAGAAAAAGTAAATTAAACTTTAAAGCGTAATTGGTATTTTTATTATAAGTAGGTCGTGCTATGCATTCGGACTTTTGCGATGTACACCTCGCACTTACATACGACATAAGTTATATAACTGGCAAATCTCTAAGTGTAACAGTTCTCATATCCTGTGTCTTTAAAAAAATGTGTAAATCATTAAACGTGCTACGCACAGTAACATGTTATTACTAATAATATATACGCAGTGGCTACGCGTCCGGAACTGGTCGCCTAGCCTCCAAGCTACGCATCCGGACATCCACTCACACAGTGAGCGCGCGACTTGCGTACACGCATGATTGCGCAACAGAGAGCTCTGCTGATTGCCGAAAATATTCAATATATGCACTGCTGCCGTCTATCCTTCCTCATCCGTCATCCGTCCTCTCTCGCTCTCTCTCTCTCTCTCTTTCACACACACACATGCACAGCTCTCTCTCTCCCTTACACACACACACCTCTACCTCTCTCTCTCTCTCTCACACACACACACACACACACACACACACACGTCTAGCTCTCCTTCTCTCTCTCTCTCTCTCACGCATACACACACAGTCACACACACAAACACATTCCCCCTCTCTCTCTCTCTCTCACGCACACACACACACACTCGGCAATCAGCAGAGCGTCCCGTTACGCAATCATGCGTGTACGTGTCGCAAGATCACTGTGTGAGATGGACGTCCGGACGCGTAGCCTAGCGGCTCCTCGTCCGGAACCGGTCGCGTAGCCACGGCCTAATATATAAAATAAGATAGCAAAAAATGTCAGACACACTGCTTGTCTGTTATTATTAACACACTTATGTTCCAAATGTTAAATGCAGTTACCTGTCACCAAAACAGCTTCTCCAGAAGTCAGCAGCATCGCTCTTCGTTATTCTAAATTGTTCACCAGCAAAAGTTCCATTGGGGAATATGGCTTTGATTTCATACAACATGTGCGAATACACAAGCGAAGTTTTTGTGAGGTTTCGTCTGTAGTGCGAATTCTCTTGGTACATTTGCTCTCTGCCTTCCTTGAAAAATTTAATAGCTTGTTTGCATTTCTTAATCAAATTTTCAATAAATACTCTGAAGTATTCATTATCGTTCAGAATGTGCAACCGGTCCTCGTATTTGGAATAAATCAGTCGAAGATGTTGATACGTATCTGGCAGAATGTCAAGAATATATGGAGGGCTGTTTTTCAAGTTCACTTTTGGGTCCTGACACAGTTTTACCACTTTGTCCATGAGCTTCCATGTTCTTTCAATCGTCTTGCGGTCTATCACTATTTTTGGATCGCCGAAAACTCCCCAAAACCGGCCAAGAAACTCCAGTTTCTGCTTCCCTTGATTAGCTCTTACCGCCATCTTTCTTCCTGCTTGTTGACCCTGCACAGTGTACCAGAATGCAGTTCACGAGAATGGCAGAATGGCAGTCTGTGAGAATGGTTACGGCAACTACACGACAGATGGCGCTCTCGTATCGTATCGTATCGTATCGTATCGTATACTGTCCCACTTTTGTATTTCACAAGGCATCACTTCTGGTGAAGGTGCGAGGATATTCTGGGAATGCGAACGTTCATCTCATCATTTCCATTAATTTGTACCTCCAGCATTTAATTCTGCTAATCTTATTCTTTGATCCTTATATTTTAGTAATTTCCTCACGTGGTCGGAAGCAATTTTAAGTAACTTGGGATCGTCACATTTCCAGTCTTTAATGAACTCCCCTTTATTTATATCCCCATATTCAAGGCTATTATATAGATGTAACAAGTCTTCTTTTTCTCCCCCACTACACAAGTCACATCCGTCATTAGTGTACTTATTTTTAAAGTAAGCCTTTAAATCTATCATGCATGTCTTGCATTTAAACACAAATCAAGGATCTTCATAGGACATTGACATCATATAATTCTTTAATCCATAATTATTAATATTAATCATTTTCAATTTTGTTTTTGTTGCTCCCTCCCCTTCGTTCCTTTCTATCACGTTTTTTAGAATGGCTTCTTTTACCATCTTTTTCCATCTCATTTTTGATAAGGCGCCAATAGATAAGAATAACATATTTAATTTATATTCTTTAATTTTGTCTATGATTTCATTTGCCCAATTTTTCTCCCATATTTTAATTGCTGTAACAACAATCTTCTCATTAAACGTTCTTGCTCTAAATTTATTATGTATTGTAATAACATTAATCTTTTATAATCGATTTTGTCAAGAATTGGTATTATACCTAGCTCAACTCTTAGAGCGATTAGTGGGGTTTTACTATGTGCACCTAGTATCTCCTTAAGCAATCATTTTGAAAGCCTTCCAATAATTGTATTTCCTTTTTTGTTAGGGTTGTCTAAGTTTCACTATTATTTAATATAGATGGGAGTATCGTGCATTCATATAATTTCACTCTAGCTTCTACTGTGAAATTGCCTAATTGGTTTGGTTTAGTCATTGTTAGGACCTCCCCCATCATATACCTGCCTCTGTCTATTCTCTCTTTTATCATAACTATGTAGTCACCGTTGCTATTAAAAATGACTCCTAAATATTTATATTTAGTACAATGTTTTATCTCTGTTCTACCCAAATAAATTTTTTCTGTTTTTTCAGTACTAATGTTTCTATGAGGCAAAAATTTAATATTTATTATATTTGTCTTGTCCATATTGAATGTTATCATTTTTTCTGTTGCAAGTAAGTTACATAAATCTGCTCTCGCTCTGGCTCAATTCACTGAGTTCCTGAGTTGTACCAGAGCATATAAATCGCAGTGGATTTATATGCTCTGGTTGTACGCATTGATCTTTATAATAAAATCCAGGCCCGTAGCCAGGGGGGGGTTCGGGGGGTTTGCACAACTCCCCCCCCCCGAGCAAAAAAAAGAAGCAAATATTTGCAAGAATTTCCCCTCAGGTATGCACCAGATCGCTCCATTTTAGTGTAATAATTGCAAAATCTCCATCGTGTTGGAGGGGAATACCACCCTCCACACCCTCCCCCGCCCGCTCTGGTCGCTTCGCGCCCTCACAAATTGCCAACATTTAAAACAAACCCCTCCCAATATAAAGCTGGCTACGGGCCTGTAAAATCTATATAATAGTTATTATAGAGTTCAGTGGTTGTATAAAGGGGGCACTGCATGCAGTTTGTGGTTACGGTTGGAAGATGTGCTGTCCACCAAGAATAACAAAATGCGTCTACTGCTACAATGTATTACATTTGTAAACGTCGTCTTTCCAACTAAATCATTCGTCTATCCAACGTGAAAATATATTTAGTAAAATGCAACCGAAAAAAGTGATATTGCACATTTTATTCCACTACCCTATTTCATGCACGCTCCGTTCGGTGATGCCACTCTCTATCTGCTCAAGCGGCTGAAGCGCAAGATACATGTCTATAACACTATTGACGTATTGTAATATATCATACAGAGATAAATACGGCATCATCATGCTGATTGTTTTCATACGTTTCTAGTACTGTCTCAGCGCTACAGTAGTGGTATTGGGTGCCTTTGATATTCGCACGAGGGAACAAGCTGGTTTCCCCGTGTAACAACGTGGTTTTTGAGTTAGAGGTTGGACGGGGAACGTGAAATCCAATCCAAATTGTTGATGTAAAAATGTGCTATTTTACAGTTCCCTTGGCCACCCGCACACAAAGGCACTGGGTTACAACTTCTCCATCTTTCCTTCCCTGAACGTAATTTTTCTCATATATATATATATATACACTGTACTTTAAAATTAGTGATATAAAGGTCAGGAGAGAAAAATATGGAGAAAAAAAAGAAGAAACCCGCACGCGTATTCACACACAAAAAATTATCTCCATCTTCCTCTCTCCTACCCTTTCTATCAACAATTTTAAAGTATACTATTAAACTATGTGAATGTATTAGAAAGCAACTATCGTAAGCTCTACTGGCGAGATTCGTTCTCTATCATATTATAAGCAAGTATAATTTATATTTATATATATATATATATATGCATATATATATATATATAATATATATATTATATATAATATATTATATATATATATACATATATGTATATGCGTTTGTGTGCGTGCGCGCGTTTGTGTGTGCGTTTGTGTGCATGTGCGCTGTGCGTTCACTTCTGATGTATACATACACAAGTACAGTACGTATACATCAGAAGTAAAAAAAAGCGGGCGCCGTGCTTTTTATAACCTATATATACTATAAATATATATATATAACTATATATATATACTATATATATATATAACAATCAAGCATGTATTGCATGTAGTACGTAATTAATCAAAATAGTTGCGTGAACGATTAATTGCTCGTTATTATTCCTCCTCGCACCCACAGGTAGCAGCAGCGTCCAATAGCCTTCTCACAATCTATAGATACATAATACCAGGAGCGTATAATGACAAAACTCAAATGACATCGTCGTCGTCGTCATCGTCTCAATCGTCATTATACGCTCCTGATAATACTTATAGATACATACATATCACCATATCACGAGTTGTATAATTATACATTAATAACATTATTATCTACATTGTTATTATATACACTGTTCAGTGGTTTACATAGCATCAGGAGTTAATGAGCAAATGAGAAAAATGGATTATTTGTCTCATTAACTCCTGATAGCGTCATACTCATAGACAGCATGTATCTATTTCTATTGCAGAGACAGGGAACCAGTCTAGGTCACTGATCTCTACAGCTATACTAACTGTATACTACTATACTACTGTTAGTATAGTATACTACAGCCCGTAGCCAGGGGGGTTCGGGGGGTTCAAACGAACCCCCCCCGAGCCCCTCCCCCCAAGCCAAACATTTTTTTTTGAAAATTTTGCAGAATTTCAGCCTCAGCGCCCTCCATTTAGTGTAATAATTGCAAAATTCCATCGTGCGGGAGGGTGAACAGTTAACACCCCCTCCCACACCCTCCCCCGCTCGGTCGCTCTTGGCTCCCTGCGCCTGGTCGCTTCGCGCCCGAGCAGTGGGCGTGTACAGGGGGGGTCCAGGGAGTCGGACCCCCCCTTCTCGCGCAGAAAACGCATCTGAGGGGGTGTAATTTTAAAAATTTTCTGGGGAGGCCCCCACACCCCCCTCGCCGTGCTCGCAACTAGGGTTACGGTTAGACACCCTGGTACAAATCCTGTACACGCCCGTGCCGAGCAAATTGCCAACATTGAAAAACGAACCCCCCCAATAGAAAGCTGGCTACGGGCCTGATACTATACTAGTAGTACTATACTAGTAGTACTATACTATACTAGTATAGTATACTACTAACTACTATACTACTGTTACTGTTAGTATAGTAGAGATCAGTGGTCTAGGTCAGCATTCGCGATTGACACCCGATTGAAGCGCTCTTTGGCATTAGCACGCATAGTATCCGAGAGGTGGCGCTGTGGAGCAAAGCTCTGCACCAAACTGCACTGTGGACATCAGAAATCAGTGTAACGATAAAGTAAGTTGTTTTTTGTCGCAGTTGCGTTTGTAGCTAAATTTCTATTATAATGACATTACTGCTACATTATAGATGCCCGTAAAGTCTGGATTGCCTTGTTGTATTAATATTACTATTAGGTTTTCAGATTATGTGTATGAGCATGAAATCAAATGAGATACTCTGACCTCCTAATCTAAACAAACTCTGTCGTTACAGCCTGGCTACAGTTGTGTGATGTTGTAATGACTAATGTGTTGCCGATGATTTATTGTTACACTGTATTTGTTATTCACAAGGAAATAAACGGGTTATTCGCTCTTAAGTAAATAAGCGAGAGCAAGGATTTGCATTAAAATTATTAGCATTTCATTTATTATGAATTTACTCAAATTTGATATTATATAATTTATACACTACTTCAGTACTCACTACTTAGGCTAGATACAATAATGTAACCCAAACCCAAGAGGATAGGGTTACAACGCGAGCCTATACCTTTTTGCGGAGGAATGCCCGAGTGAATCACTCGCGGCAGGTTTGCTGGTGTATTTCAGAGACTAGAACTTCCAACTGGGTTTATTCTAACACAAACCTTTCTCCGCTATCTGGGAACTTACTTTGTATCGCAATACTCTGTATTAAACTAATATACCTGTTATAAAAATTCGAAGTGACGAGCGGCGAATATACTGAGCGCCATTTCTGTTGACCTGTGACGTACGCATTTCCCAATGCGCATAGCGATCGGCAAACGCAGCGCCTCCGATTGGTCGGTGAATCCACTCTTCAAACCGAAGTACGTCACAGGTCAACAGAAATGGCGCTCAGTATATTCGCCGCTCGTCACTTCGAATTTTTATAACAGGTTATATTAGTTTAATACAGAGTATTGCGATACAAAGTAAGTTCCCAGATAGCGGAGAAAGGTTTGTGTTGAGAATAAACCCAGTTTGGAAGTTCTAGTCTCTGAAAATACACCAGCAAACCTGCCCGAGTGATTCACTCGGGCATTCCTCCGCAAAAAGGTATAGGCTCGCGTTGTAACCCTATCCTCTTGGGTTTGGGTTACATTATTGTATCTATACTTAGGCTAGCCCGCGTTCATTAACTGCCGCAGGGCTATAGAACATTGTCAGCTCGATTTCGCTACTGCATTTGGTCCCGATTGGTTCCACGAAAAATGGCTCAGAAAACGCAAAATGATCGGGCTTTTTAACACTTATTTATCTACTAGTACTAGTACTACATGGTCGGACATCTCATCTATCTTTTTGAACACTTTCCACAACTTTACACCATGTATTTATGCATTTAATAGCTTTATTCCTTACAAGTGAGCACTACTCAGTCTACTGGCTGTACCATTTGAAATATTGTGGCGCGCGAACGCGTGACGTCACCGGATATGTAAGCAAAACACATGGCAGCTATGGTGTATGTATATACAATACCGGTGACGTCACGCGTTCGCACGCCACAATATTTCAAATGGTACAGCCAGTAGTGCTGACTTGTGAGGAATAACGCTATTAAAGGCATAAATACATAGTGTAAAGTTGTGGAAAGTGTTCAAAAAGATAGGTGAGGTGTCCATGTAGATAAATAAGTGTTAAAAAGCTCGATCATTTTGCGTTTTCTGAGCCATTTTTCGTGGAACCAATCGGGACCAAATGCAGTAGCGAAATCGAGCTGACAATGTTCTATAGCCCTGCGGCAGTTAAAGAGACAGTAGCCTCTAGGATTTTACTGCATACAACTGTACTTACTGTATAACAAATCGTCTATACCCACACGTATTTGTTACCAGATACCTAATTTAATTGTTATAATTAATTACACATCAACGCTACAAATTTGAACGGCGCCATGACACCCGCGACCGTGCTGCCGACCGAAAAAGTTGCGTATTTTACAATTTATTTTGCACGTTACAGACGAGGGCTAATCACAAAAGTGCAATTATATTTATACCTAAATGCTATTTACCGAACGATATTCATTTTAGGGCAAATTTATCCATATTATAACTGAAACTATATGTCGTTTATAAGATATTACAATCCTTTTGCTTTTAAATTAATAAATAAGAAACACCCTCGGTCTGTAGCCCTTGGCTGGAAAGTGGTTTTGCGCAACTTATCAGATCGTGCGCTTTGAGTGGCGCCACCGTCATGGTAATCAAACTGTAGTCGTTAGTTTTAAAACATTTTGTAAAAATATTTCTAATGGTGATTGAACCATGAAACTTTTTATGTAGCGTAATAATATTTAACCTAAATTAGCTGAAAATAACCCTAGAACCTAGAGTAACCTCTCCCTTTAATGAATGCAGGCTATAGTACTAGAGCTAACACTAGGCCTACACTCTACAGTCTACAGTACAGAGTACAGACTTGTCAACATTGTTGCATGCCTGGCTTGAAGTTGATATTCTAACATTGGTTTATGTATAATTAATTTGGTTGCACATGCTCTTGTTGTTTTTCTTCTTCTGATGAACAAATCACCATCAACAAGTTTTTTTGAGGGTGTAACATGAGGGAAGGGGTAAATGTCATTTTTTTCTTCATTTAGTAAACAAGTTTGGAAGTCCAGTAACCACACTTGTTAGTACCTACTACCTATACAATGCAAATCGCAAGTGTTGTGCACTGAAAGCTATAGTGACTAGAGCTAGGTTGACATCAAGCAAATTATCATATGCAGTGTTACTCGTTATGCATTTGAAGTTTTGTGCATGCAATTTTGTAATGTAGTGTTGTCTTTGGAATGTTACTTATATACAAAGGTATTCGAATGTGAGATGGTATTAAACGACATGTTATACTTTCAGTGAAGTACTCCATTGGAATATACTGTATCTAGTGCCAATGAAGAAAGCACCTATATTCTTGCCTCTTGATCTAGAGATGATGGTAGCATCACCTTGACAGGCACGTGCATTGCCAACAGGGTTATATAGGTCAGCTGAGATTTATAATGTGCATACACTTACAGATTATATATTTAAAGCCAGAGGAGTCATAAAATTATTATAAAGCAGGATTAGAAATATATGTTTTTGCCATGCAGCAAATATTTACTGCCAGAGAAAAGTGCAGGCAGCAAATTAATTCATCCGGGCAGAATCTTTTCTGCTTTTACTATTGTTTATTAAAAATATCCTTACAGCAAGTATTTGCTGCTAATGTTGAAAGCAGGCACTAAACTGATTCTTATAGGCACTAAAACTGCAGCTTGCTGCCCATAATTTTGAACTCTGTAAAGGTCTGTAAAATGTCCTAGTATTGAAATATAATGCTTGATTATTCTGTATTTCTTATGGATTCATTTAATAATTACCTAGATATGGATAACTCACTCAACGTCAATCACGATCAAGGTTCCTGTCACGAGCAAAAGGTACCACACAGCTTTACACAGGAGACTGGTGAAAGCCAGGTAACAATCGCATGGAATCTATAGCTTGAAATTATGAGTTCCTTCCTCAAAGCTAAAAAATAATGGATAGACAAATGCAGCGTATATATTACATTTATAATTGTTGCATGCAGCATAAATATTACCCTAATAAAGTTTTATTTTTTAACCGTTTTCATGTTTTCTCGGCCATTCTGATACTTACCTGTACTCCTTGCATAATACCAAGTGTATATATGGTAAGGCTAACATGTGATAGAACAATCACACATCTTTCTTTTCAGCTATATGAGCACCGATCTGCATTTCAAATTGGATTTGTTTACATATCTCAACATCACTAGCCGTAATTTTTGCTCTCGTGAAATATCATCAACATGTACCTTGTCTCTACACTATCTATAAAGCTATATACTAGCAATAGCACTGTTGAATTTATATTTAAGCATTATGGCAAAGTTGCAAATCAAATTTGCCCTGATGCCATTTGTAAAGCCTACCGTGCAAATTTACACTGAAGTACGTTAATGTACACTTTGCTACACACTATAAATGTTAAAGATGGTGTTTGAGAGGCCTCAACGATTCCAGTTTCAGACTGCAGAAGTCGCTGCCTTGTCAACTAAGGTGATCAAGCTGTCTGACACACTCCAGCACGCCACATGTGAGAAAAATGCTATCGAAAAACAACTTAAAGAAACGCAGGTAAAAAGTACATTTCGTTTTAAAACGGCTGAATAATTTAGTGATCGACTATGATATCGTTCATCTTTGTATTGCACTGGTCGATTACTTGAACACACTATGTTAGTGAGTTCACTTATTCGGTGATTCATACGTTGTATGTGAATTCAATTGTGTGACGTTACATGCATGTAAATGTTACCTTCACTTTACTATCTGCGTTTAAAGTTTTTATTACGAAATTTTTGCTCAGAAACGCTCGATCCTAAAAAATATAGCGAAATATAGTCTCACCTCCCAGTGAATATATCACTGATTACACTAACTTGAAAAACACTTAAGATTTTACGCAGTTCTAGCATAGAAAATTGGGTATGAACACATCGTAACACACTGAAATTTTATCATGTCGGGACACTGTCAAAATGTATCAACTTGTAATTTGTCGGTGCAAACGAGATTATGCGAGAGACGTGTAAGTATGGATGATAGCTTGTGCTATTAGCGCTACTAACAGGTCCAAGATTACAAGGAAAGGCTCGCTGGTAATCAAACTTGCATGTTTTGGTGAATACGAAGGTTCTAATACATTTTATCGTTACTCTAGACAGTTGCTGTTACTCAAGCAATAACGGTAGGTAATTAAACGGTCATACAAGTGGGGAAAACACTAGATAATTATTGTAAATATGGCTTTAACGTGTAATTAATGATTGTGTGTGTGTGTGTGTGTGTGATTTCCCCCGCGCGTTCAGCTGGAGATGCTGTGTGCGATGCAGGAGAGTGAGAGGCGCTTTCACAACCAGGCGATACGACACGAGGAGCGACTCGTAGAGCTGCACAGCGTCATCGCCGAGCTGAGGAAGAAGTTCAGCGATCGCTACACGAACGTCATCAGGTGAGGCGGCGGTCGCTGGGGCAGCATGCGACGCTCCAGATGGTGACGCGTCTCTGTGACAATCCCATCTTCGTTTGCTCGATTGGCTATTATGTTGGCTTTATCTATGGGCTATTATTATTTACTTGTTGCCTTGTATCTAGTTGTGGCATCTATGCATACCTGGTACTGATGCTTTTTAGCTCAGCTGACGAAGTCAGATGCAGCTTGTAGAATCGCATGATTGTCCGTCCGTCCGTTCGTCAACAGTTGGGCACAAATCTTAACCGCTCGACGTACGGTCTTGATATTTGGGACATCAGGGGGGATCGCAAAAAGGACTGGATGTCGAATTTGGGGGTCAAGGGTCAAAGGTCAAGATGTGTCAATGGAAGGGGAATATTTCCCCCTTAACTTAAGGTATAGGAGGAAATACGGAATTGCGGCACAAATCTCAACGGCTTGACCTACGCTCTTAATATTCGATGTATAGTGTGATGGGGAGAAAACCCATCACCAGCGCGAAATTGGAGGTCAAAGGGCAGTGGGCAAAGGTCAGATATCAGACATTTTCTGAGGACATGGTCTAACGGACCAAGTGCAAAACTTTTTTGTTACAGCGTTGACCTACCGTTTTTTATCACTTTATTGAAAGGACCATGAAATGTTTCCGCTGACGTGCGAAGAGTAAGTGTCTGTTAACCTTTTGACCCTCAAGAGGAGGGTTAAACATGGATTTGTTGACTGTTAACAAAGGATTGTGTGTGCGTTTGTGTGCATGTGCGTGTGCGTTCACTTCTGATGTATACATACACAAGTACAGTACGTATACATCAGAAGTAAAAAAAAAGCGGGCGCGTGCTTTTTATTAACCTATATATATATATATAACAATCAAGCATGTATTGCATGTAGTACGTAATTAATCAAAATAGTTGCGTGAACGATTAATTGCTCGTTATTATTCCTCCTCGCACCCACAGGTAGCAGCAGCGTCCAATAGCCTTCTCACAATCTATAGATACATAATACCAGGAGCGTATAATGACAAACTCAAATGACATCGTCGTCGTCGTCATCGTCTCATCGTCATTATACGCTCCTGATAATACTTATAGATACATACATATCACCATATCACCGAGTTGTATAATTATACATAATAACATTATTATCTACATTGTTATTATATACACTGTTCAGTGGTTACATAGCATCAGGAGTTAATGAGACAAATGAGAAAAATGGATTATTTGTCTCATTAACTCCTGATAGCGTCATACTCATAGACAGCATGTATCTATTTCTATTGCAGAGACAGGGAACCAGTCTAGGTCACTGATCTCTACCAGCTATACTAACTGTATACTACTATACTACTGTTAGTATAGTATACTACAGGCCCGTAGCCAGGGGGGGTTCGGGGGGTTCAAACGAACCCCCCCCCCGAGCCCCTCCCCCCAAGCCAAACATTTTTTTTTTTGAAAATTTGCAAGAATTTCACCTCAGGTATGCACCAGATCGCTCCATTTTAGTGTAATAATTGCAAAATCTCCATCGTGTTGGAGGGGAATACCACCCTCCCACACCCTCCCCCCGCTCGGTCGCTTCGCGCCCTCACAAATTGCCAACATTTAAAAACAAACCCCTCCCAATATAAAGCTGGCTACGGGCCTGTAAAATACTATACTAACAGTAGTATAGTAGTATACAGTTAGTATAGCTGGTAGAGATCAGTGACCTAGACTGGTTCCCTGTCTCTGCAATAGAAATAGATACATGCTGTCTATGAGTATGACGCTC